AATGACTCCTCTTTTTGGTGGGAGTTCCTCCTTTTCTGGTGATCTCGCCCTCTTGCGAGGGCTCTTACTTCGTTCTCGTCTCCTGCTCGTCCTCTCGCGGTCCTTGTATATAAACTCCTTCAAGTGGCCCGCCTTTATCAATCTCTCGATTTCGTCTTTCAAGTGCCGACAGTCGTCAGTGTTGTGCCCATAGTCTTTGTGGAATCGACAGTATAGGTTGCTTTTGGGCTTCAAAGGTCCATCTTTCCTCGTCCGCGGCCATCTTACCACATCGTCGCGGATTTCCCTCTCCATAACTTCCAGGATTCTCGCATGGGGAGCCGACAAAGGTGTGCATTGAGTTGGTCTCCATCCCCTAGACCTGCCTTCACCCCTTTCAGACCTCGGGGATCCCCTTCTATCTCCTGTTGACTAACCCTTCTTTTCCTTCTTGTCGTCTCGACTGTCAGTTTGAGCCATCTTCATGCTCTGCAAGTAGTCGGCCTCGGCCTCCTCGACGTTCATGTATTTGGCACATCTTCCCAGCACATCGTCGAAACTCCTACCAGGTCGTTTGGCCAAGGAGTTCTTACACAATTCTGGTAGCAGTCCTCTCGTCAGTCCTCCCGATTTGATTTCCTCTGTCGCTGTGGGGCATTCGACGCACGCCTTGGTAAACCTTGCCACATATTCTCGCAATGACTCGCCTTTCTTCTGTTGCATGCTAATCAACGAGAGGTAAGATTTCTCTTGCACCCTCACACTTGCAAATTGGTTAAGGAAACTCGAGATGAATCCATCAAAGTCCCGAATCGACCCCGCTGGAAGTTGATGAAACCAATCTTGGGCCGACCCTATCAAAGTCGTCAGGAAGGCACGACATTGTACTGGGTCGCTGTAACGATGAAGCACGGCCATATTTTCAAAACTCCTCAAATGTCGAGATGGATCTGTGGTACCGTCATACCATATGTTCAGCTCCCTGAAGCCTTTGGGTAAGTCGGCTCTTAGGATCTGCTGTGAGAATGGGTGTTCTTTGGCTCCTCTGCTCTTCCTCCCGTCGACTCGAGCTTGCAAGTCGCGAACCTGTGCCAGCAGTTGCTCCAACGTTTCGTCCCTTGCTTGTGGATTAACGGTTCGAATGGACGATTCCTCTTCGTCTACCCTTCTGTTCTGTTGCACATTCGACTGGGCTTGTTGCTCGCCGCGCGGCTGCTGTTCGACTCGAGGGGGGTACTCGACGCGAGGCTGATGCTCGACTCGAGGTGGACACTCGACTCGGGGCTGCTGTTCTACCGGCGCTATCTGCTTCATCTGGGCCGCCACGGCTTCAGCAATCATCTTCTGCATTTCACTCCTCGTCATTGTCAGAGTCTGTTCCTCGACGCGGGGTTGTGTCTGTTCCGGAACCTCCTGTATCTGTTTTCCCTCGCGTCGAGAGGCCTCCGTTGGCTCCTTCTCTCCATCTGGGTTAGGGTTTTGACTTGTTCCTGCCTGAGTCAACACTTGTAACTTCACGCCGGTTGGAGTCACAGGCGTTTCTCCGCCCAACGTCAGCCCGGGTGGTGGAAGTCCTCCGAACGGCGGCATTCCCGTCATCTGAACTACGGGGTGTTTGGTGGTGGGAAGTGGTGGTGGCCTCTTGTCCATCCACGTCCCTCTGAACTCCTCGCTCAGGTTCCTCTGCAAGCTCTCCTTCTCCGCCATTGGCAAACAGATCGGAACTGGGTGTGAAGCTCTTCCTTCCTTTAAGAACTCCCCACAGACGGCGCCAAATGATGAGTCTACATCTGGATCTGAAGTAAACCGGTGGTTGTGAGCTCTGATCTGCTTGAACCGCCTTGAAACCGTTGCTAGACCGCAAGAATACCTACAAAAACTCAACGCCGGAGGTGTTTCCGGCGAAGAGCCTCCGACGCTCAAGTCAATATGAGAGTGATGAAGAGAGGCTGCGCAGCAGCTATGGGGGAGAATGGGAATGAATCAGAGTTAGGGTTTTGGGTTACCTCGCCTCCTTTATATAGGAGTGAATACCTACTTGAAGTGCCCAAAATGCCCAAGTCGGTGGACCTGGAAGGTCCAAAATGCCCTTGTCGATTCGTCTCCCCTTTGTTGCTGAGTCATCGTGAGATTCCTTCTTATCTTCGATAAGGTGTGGAGCTTTGGATATGTTGCAAGTGTGGTGAATCGTCTTCACCACTTTGATCCTCGAGATGTACAGAGTCGACCTCGAGAGTTAAGAGGTCGACTTATGAGTATATGATTTTGGAGGTTACGTTTGGTCTCTGTGATGAAGTCGTCTCCGGAGTCTTCATAGTGGAGTCGACTAATGGAAGTCGACTCAGGATACTGGGATGGCCAGGCGTTATGCTCATGCTGTCCTTCTGTTGATGTCGACTAGTAGAGGTCGATAGACCAAAGTCGACTTACGAGAGTCGGCTAGACCGATTTCTGCCTTCCCTTGGTTGCTCTTGGTAGAATCGTCTTTAGGGAAGTCGATTTGAGTACATCGACCGAATCATGTCGATGTACTAGTTGCTCCGATAATTCCTTGGTCGGGTGAGGAGCCTCTAAACCGGATTAACCTTATATGGCTATATCATTATGTCATTGATGGTGTTAAAGTTTGAGCATGATTAGAGTTCATTGCCTTGGCCATATTGTTCACGAAAATGTTCGTTTTTGGGTTCCCGAGCTTTAGTATTGTACATGCAAGATATGACACATGCATTAGCCTTTATAGTCATAATTTTTGATGTGGAACACTCGGCCCTGAGTAGTTTTATAAGTTAAGAATGTTGGTTCGGAGGTCAAGTGCTCGTACGTGCCATTTAGGCCCCTCGAGTGAACATGCATGTGGACCCGGGGTCCACTAGTGTTTTATGTGATATTTGTGACTATTTGATCATGCTAAGTTGATATGAGTTGCATGTCACCGGAAAATGTTGCCGGAGGTCCGGCAAGGGCTGGCCTTAGTGGCTGTCCGCGCACATAGCGCGCCAGTGCCCGGCCCAGTGTCAGTCCGTGCCCGCGCCAACGTGCGCGAGGCACCAGTGTGATGCGGATGTGGTCATCGACCCATCCGAGCCCGAGGACGAGTCGCGCGAAAGCCGTGAGAAGAAGCGCGCGAGGGTCCAGGATGAGTATCGAGACCATGTTAAGAAGGCCCGGAGAGGCTACGCGATGGGAGATGCGCCCACAGTCGCGTATTGGGCCGATGATGAGAGCGAGAAGATTGAGCCCGGAGGAGAGGGCGAATGGTGTAGGGCTTGCGCAAGAGACCGGCGCAAGCGACGCATGCGCGCTAAGGCCGAAGGAGCACGAGGGATGGATGAAGGGTGGAAAGCGTGCACATGGGGCGGCAGCAGTGGCGCAGACGCGGAGCCGGCGGGCCGGCGGTTCAAGCCAGTTTTGATTCGTGATTTCTAGTCTGAGTCTTTTTGCGGAATTTTAGTATTTTTTTTAGCCGAGCCAGTCCAGTCATAGCATATAAATAGTCCGAGCAATTTAGCATATAATTAAATATTCTGAGCATTATACTTAGCATTATTTTGCTTAAATATTTATGTAGCCTAAGGAGAGTCGAGCCTCCGACCGCTACTCCAGCATCCGCACTTGCATATCAGATTCCAAGTTTTCAGGTGGGGGTCATGTACTGGATGTCAAATCATAGATAATATTTGTACCATGGCAGAGGTATGTTTGAGACAGTTTAGTTCCGGGTTGGGTGGCCGAGGCCTTTATACCCACCTGATGACCGTTGGGAGGGGCGAGGCCCTTTATACCCCATCGGCATGTGCACACGAGCGGCTAAGGCCGAGGCTCTTTTGACCATAGATCAGAACAGACATCAGAGATCAGTTTACAGTTTCAACTCTTATATATTTATGTTTCATGATACGTTATTATAAATGATGTTTTGTTCAGTACTGGTCTTTGCGGAGCATAGTGGTTTGCTCACGCCCCCATTGTGTTTTTCAGGAGACGGAGTCGAGCGTGTCGGATGAGCACAGATGTGGCGCAGCGTGGTCTTGAGAGTCGGACATATTTTACCAGCATTTTTATGTCCTAGATTTATGATCATGTGTATTTTATTCAGTTTATGTACGCATGTTATGTATTCGTATTTCGGATGCTTCCGCCAGCGAGTTTTCTAGACAGTGCGAGACAGTACAGACTATGCATGTATAATTCCATAATCCGCGAGCGGATAGTTTGGTTGCATGTTTTTATTATGTCTGTGGGCAAGCCCAAGTTCAGTTAAGTTTTTATCTGCCACATCCCGCAATAAGTCAGTATTTTCGAAAAGCCAGCTCTCACGTTCTTTCGAAAATAAAAACAAAAATTTTACTCTGATTTTTCAAAGCTAGTAGTAAGGTGGGGTGTGACAAAAACACAATGCCAAAAAGGAAAAAATAAAAACACATTTGTCCTTAATCGCAACACAGAATAACAGAGGTCACAGAATAACGTAGCCTACTACATATCATGGTCATATATCTAGGATTGAACAGGTTTCGTAGCGTCATTATAACACAATATACTCAACTCATTACTAAATTATTCCAAAACAAACAAAGCATCACATAACATGGTCGATTATCGTAGGACATTCATCTAGTATCTCGAGCTAAGCTTTGTAGCATATATAATTAAACCTAAAATATATAGATATGTGTGTGTGTGTATGCATCAATTGTTCTTAAACAAGAACAGAAGAGACCATTAGTATATTTGTAACATGCACATATCATAAAAAACGCGTAAAGAAAAGTACAGCACCTCGTTGCAAGGGGACGTAGATGCAAAAAAACATTGTGGCGTCCCACGACTTTTCAAAATCTCCATATGGCTCAGGATGAATGACCACAACTCTAGTAGTTCTTCTGTAATCAGTGTATCTGGCAGCAAACACTCAACAACATCCTTCTTCACGGAGTATTCGGGTGACTGGAATATAACAAGATTGCTGGGCGTTTCCGTAATCATGCGTACAGAAAAAAAAATTAGAATAATACTCATTAAATATATGTCTCAAGTCTAACTAAACAACAATAATCGTACCCATCAGCAGCATCATTCTTCATTATCCAGTTGACTATCATCTTCTCTTTCCCATCAAGCTTCTTAACCACATCAATTGCTCTCTCTTGGTAGGGAGATTTCATTGCACCGGTAGCCTGGATGCGCCTCTTCGGCCTTGGGGATCCACGTACATTGTCAACACCGCCTGCACACATATAAATAAATATATAATGTAATACGAATAACCAACATCGATAAGTGGATGCAAACATACTAAAAAAAAAAGAGAATAACAAAAAAATCACACGTACGTATATGAATGAAATATTTCTATAATGTACCTAGTTGTGCATCTACTACGGTAGGCGTCTCCACCCTTTGTTGATCTATGACCACTCCAGGAGTCACAGCAGGAATCACAAATGCAGTTGCTTCCCCGCTCGCATGGTCATGGTTATCATTGGCATCTTCATCATCCGACGACAAGCCCAAGCTGAAGCTAGGCCCTTCATTATGCACTCTCAGAAAACTCTCTCGTTGTTCAACTGCCTTCATAATGTCGTCTATAGCCGCTAATGTTACAGGATCATTCCGAAATGCATCATCGGCTATCTGAGAGGCAGCACAATTCACGTTGACATTCGTTGCATCACTTCTCTTTGTGGCACTAGTGCAACGAGGCTGACTTGAGCCGGGGTGGCTCGAATTCCCATTGGGCGCTTCACTATACAAACCAAGTAACTTTTGTGCCGCGTCTTGCATTTTGATACAGTTTTCATCCCCCAATAAAACTTGTGGTGTCTTTTCGACCAACTTTAATATTTCAACACCAATTGCAGCAAGGGAACGAGTTTTAGATGCAAAATCTTGAACATAAGCCTGTAAAACCACAATAGCACAATCACGATATATGATTTGCACGATATATAATATGTAATGCACAATACATAATATTTCAATAATAATAAAAAAAAAAATAAGAACGTGTATGTCGTCAATAATCAAATATCTAATCCCGATCACTAATATGCAATTTAAACTCTAATTTAATTTAAAATATTCATCGCATACAACACTAATCGCAAACATGTATGTCAAAAGGAATCTGTTAATCGTTGCATGGAAAAAAAATTAGGAATCTATAATTTTAGGCACAATGACAATGAAATAAATAATAAGACAACGTAAAGTAAGACAATTCCACACCTATGTCAATGAAAATGCACATTCTTACATTGACTATTGCACAATATATTGCCAGTACTGCACAACCTTACAATGACGATTGCACAATATATTACCAGTACTAAACCAAAGAAAAAAAAATAAATAAATAACAAGAAAAATGTAACAACATAAATCATGACAATGTGCAACACATATATCACATATAATTATATATAATGCCAATGTATATATCTCATATTACATACTTGTACGGTATGTTCGTCAGTTACCCCAGTAGCATCGTCCGTATATGTGAGCCGAGCTTTATCAGAATGTGGGCTAGTGACGTTCACACACATGTCAGAATCCACGAAACCCCTTCCAAAGGCTTTCGAAGCAATCTCATCGCGTTCTCTGTCTCTCAATGACTCGTTGCTCCACGATTTAAAAGTCGGGAAAACTCTTGCAACTGAACGCACGGACAAGACTACCTTATCTGCATAGAAAAGCTGTCGGACAGAGCATAGATACAAATATAAACAGTATTAAGCAATTGTCACCACTAAAACTCTCAAAAAAATATACCAAATATGATTCATAGTAACCTCAAAAAATAAAAAAATAAAAATGGAAACAAACATGTCAAAAAGAAAAAATAAGGGAACAACATATAACTGACCGTCAAGAACAACAAAGGCCCTGTGTACTTCCGTTTACCATTCGCTTCCCACGATCGCTTGCTGTCCACTAAGCATCGAATCATGTAGGAGCACCAGTTCATATTGGCTACAGTTGATAAATCGTCGAGCATATGCACTAAACGGAAGTTTGCCATTCCGTTTGGACAACTCTCAAACAGACAGGAGACCATGAGAACGATAATATGGCGCCTGAACCAATCATCAGCATCAGCACACTCCTTCATCTTGTCCAGCACCTTTAAAGCCGTGATATTTCTTGTACTCCTAACATTGAATAGCCCAATCCAATCATCCAGCACACTTGATGTAACCCTATTCTTTTTATTTTTTATTTCAATATCCCCACGGGGTAGCCCGAACGTGACATACACATCATCTTCCTTGATGTGTACCTTCTCACCACCGTATAATTGCAGCTTCCGGTCAAGGTGGTTGAAGTTTTCTACTACCCAGAAACCCATTTTTGACGGGGTTGATGTTATGCCCAACTCCAATAAACACCCCAGTCCCATTTCTCGTATCGCATGTTTTTTCATGTCAGACATGTCAGAAATTGCCTTCACGAAAATCGATGCTGACGACCTTGTGTTCACTCTTGGGAACACATCATCCTTGTCACCGTCCACATCACCGACATCGTCTGAAACATAGTTGTCTATATATTTGCCTACAGTGTCGTCGTCTGACATTTCATATTTACCTTTGACTGAGAATTAAATTCAAATCGTAAGCTAGACAAGTAACAACAACAAATAAATTTATATACGTAATAAAGTTTAATTAAGTGAATATACCACGCTTAGCCTTCGTAATTTTCTCAAGACCGTGCCTAGGCATATCGTCGACGAAATCATCACTATCAGGTTGACTTACTTTGAGTGGACCGACTTTTGTACGCTTCGCACGGTCAGTACCACATCCAGGATCGTCCGAATGCCTCTTACACGGTGCATCTACTTAATATACAAATAGTAGGAAGTCACATCTCAAAAAAACACATGAAAACTTTAAAACTACTCCAACTTTAAAGCATTCAGAACATAAGAATATAAACCGAAAACAGGTATAATCTAATATTCAGCCAAGATATAATCCACACTACTCTTATTTTCCATATTCAGTTTCTACATTGCACATCATGTATACATAAACCGAATTGGAAATCAGCATGACATTACCTTGATATGATTTTTCACCATTCGGGGATGTACCGCCTTGCTGTAATAATGCTAAGCTCATACGACGTCGGGTCGCTAGCACATTATCAGTCATTCATTACAAAAGGTCGAAAAAATAGATTGATATGTCTTAATGTCTTAAATCGACGACATATACCTTTCCAAACGCTAAGAGGTTGATCCGATATTCCTACCTCACCATCGTTTTATCTGCAGCAACACACGATACAACAAAATAACCATTAACAAGAACAACGTACTTACTAATAAAGGATTTAAAGTGTAAATTGTTATGTGCTTAACGACAACTTTGATTTGGGAACTAACCATGAATCTGTTTTGTGCTTCCTTGAACAACATTTTCAATTACCGAGCTCTTTGCCTTACGGTTAGTACCTACATAAGGAAAGGTTGGAATCAAACATGCACCTTACATACAAAAAAAAAACAAAGAAAAAACAAAAACACAAAAAAAGCACACTATACGAAATAAGAAGACGTTCAGAATACTAGAAACACGAAATAAATAATATGAAACATCATAAAATCTCTAAAACTTTCCCTTAAACACAAGAGTATGTCTACCAGATTTTCATTTCATTATTATTATTTTTAAAAAACTATATTGTGAAACACATAGTGTCAGATCTACAAAACGATAAACCAGATAAATTGAGAGAGAGCGAGGATATTGTTACCCGAATTCTTAGGAGAATTTTCCATTCGGAAACGGCGAGACGATGCACCCTATACAGTACAAAAATTAAAAAAAAATTCAACCAAAAGCTCATAACAAGATAGAGAAATTGCAAGGCATAGCTCGAGTGTTAAAATCGTAAGAAAAATAGCTCACCAATTTTGAATTGAGATTGTGAGAAATCAGCTCACCACCGAAGAACTCTTCCACTAAAAGATCGCCTTGAGATCTGCGCACGTTACACCAAAAATAATTAATGGGTCTGGAAACAGACATCCAGCCAAAAACCCCATTGCTGGCGTAAAATACGTTAATGCCCTTTCATTGATATTATTGACCACAAGGTTAGTGTTTATTTACGCGTATGCCACCGCCTAATGATAGTGCGATCAACGTCAACAGACTTGATCTTGGCCTTTAATTTAACAGAATATGTGATGTAGATTTATTCTCATTTCTCACATTATGCACCATTCTCATGTGAACCTGCTTATATATATATATATATATATATATATATATAAATGGCAAAATAAATGATTAAATGATGGGAGTATAAAACTGATTTAATATATATATACACACATACACACACACACAGAGAGAGAGAGAGAGAGAAAGAAAGAAAGAAAAGGATGATTTTGCTTTGAAAGCACCAATGCTGTAAAATGCATGTCCTTGAGCTGCATTATTTTCATCGAGAATGACCTGCTCTTGAGGGGCATCAGGCCCAGTTGGCATTGTCTCATAAACAGATGCCTATTCACCAACATTAGGCACAAGACAGCGCCAATGTTGGACATATTTTTTCCCCTTCAAGGTTCTTTTGTAATAATAGTAAGTTCCTCGGTGCAAAGGTGCAGTTATGTCATCTTCTTTTAGACGACCCCTAATCTCACTATAAATTTGATCTTCTAATAGTTTGGTTCCTGAAAAGTAACAAGCCCAAAAAAGGACAAATTCAGACAGAATGAAGTACAAAAGTATATTGATGCATACATGAATGAACCATATACATTCTGAGAGATTTGCAATGAAAACATATGATTTTTCAGCCCCAACTTTCCGTTTGTAACTATTTTTTGGCAGCAGAACTCTTCAGAATGACACAGGTAGACTTTGGATTTTAAGTTCAACAAATCCTTGAAGCTCTATTATGTTATTCTTTATCTACAACAGATATATATAATGCTCAGAAAGACCCCTGACCATTCAAGCGAGTGCAAATACATCACATGTAATGACTATCTCTACTCTACAAAATATTCCTAAAATAAATCATCAAGAAGATAATAAATAACAGCTCAACCAGTCACATAGTTTCTCTTTATAATGAATAAATGCAATAACTTTATCAAGAATTCTAGTTTAACATAACCCAATGCCTAGTTGGAAATAAAAAATACACTAGCAGCGAGTTAAGTGATAAGAAATCGAACACACCAGACATGAGATGGTGGTTATAAGCATTTTCTTGTTGGAGATGGGCCAAGATTAGAGGGTCGGAGCGAGAATCATCACGAAGCCAATAGTAATTGTCGATCCTGACGTCGCCAAACATCTCCATCTCATGCTTCACATGCTTCGGAATTTGAGGTTCCATCTTTAACCTACATGTTAGAATATCACTTGTGAGTTGTCCCACATCGTTCATACATAGAAAATAGATCCACCTTATAAGACTAATGGGTTACTCCTCCTTCCACCAATTGGTTTTGGGATGTAACCCAATTTGGGCTTCCTTGATTTGGTGCGCTTCGTCCGTGGGACCGCACCCGTCAACCCTCGATTGTCATGGTATCAGAGCCAGTTCTACCGTGCGATGACGTACCCGTTTTTCCCCATGTACCCGTTTATGGGAGCCTACTTCTAGTAGGGCTTGGGCACCCAGCTCTGTATATGGGCTTGGGCTTTCGAAGGACTCACAAGTGAGGGGGCGTGTTAAAATATCACTTGTGAGTTGTCCCACATCGTTCATACATGGAAAATAGACCCACCTTATAAGACTAGTGAGTTACTCCTCTTTCCACCAATTGGTTTCGGGATGGAACCCCATTTGGGCTTCATATGGGCTTTTCCCGTTTTCTCATGCTGCGCTTCATGGTAGTGGGCCCGCACCCACTTTCCCCCAGTTTCTGTCACTACACACACAACTATCCCGATGTATAGTGTCTATACACCTAGCATTAACACCTGTACTTAATAGTGATGCCAAAATTGTATATAAACAGAACAAAGCAGATTGACTTCTCTCTCGTATTCTCCCTCATAACATGATACGCGGGGTCTTAATTTACCGGTTATCCCTGAGAAGCCAAAATTTTCAGGTTTTTATAACTAGTCGTTACATAAAAGGTTGTGTGCTTTTTTAAAAAATGTGGGCAAGTTTTAACTTTCTGAAAAGTACATGTTTAGAGTTTAATGCATTCAACTAGTGTTAGAACATGGATTGTAATACCTTATGTTGCTACGCCAGAAAGTTGAAATAGCGGAAGCACAACAAGATATAAAAACTCTTTGGGGAGCGTTTCACTACCCTTCAGAGCTCTTTCATTAATAACTTGATTGTGCGCACTTGTGTAAGTTGAACTTACAAGACTTGAATTCCCTTCTAGTCTTGCCACAACTACACTCAGATCAATCAATTACTTCTCTGGTCACTTCCCGTGGACTTAAACACTCTCGATCCCCCAAAACTCAGTGCTAAATCCCTTAGTACTGATCACGAAAATGTTCGAATAAAATAACCAAAACTAACTCAAAACAGCTTCCTATAAGAAAATCAAAAACACTGAACTGCAAACTAAAAGGAAAATAACTAAAAGTTTGAATTCTCAATTGAAGCTTGAATTCTACAAGTAATGGGAATTTCAGCATCCTTCAATTGATCTTCAAGTAGGGTTTATATATCATCCTTAGGCGTGTGCTTCTTCTCCAAGTTATTTCTTTCCTGCGAGATTTCTTTGCCAAAATTTGCGATTCTAATCATGAAAAGTGAATACTCTTGATCTTCTACTCAATCGAACGCGTCCCTTTCTATCCTGCCATGCATGATGATATCCTACAAAATATAACCATAATAAGATCACACAAATCTAATATATATATATATATATATATATATGTGTGTGTGTGTGTGTGATTATTTTTTGAGTGGTAACTATTTCCCTCCAAAAAAATCTATTTACTATTTTAGGAAATTAATTTAACAATTTATGGTATATTTCAAATAATCACTTCTGGAAATTGCGGCTCAATATTTAAGGAAATGATATAAGCCATAAAAAATCATTTTTAAGATACATTGATTACTCAAATCATGTGAATTTGGCTGATTTACCTAAATATGAAAATTTTGACTCCAATATCAATTATCTTATTTGGTAAAAATCTTCCAACTAAATTGTGTAATTAATTATTTAATCAGTGTTTTATATTTTTCGTGTAATTCTTTTGTGAAATGCATTTTTAATATGCCTTAATTACGCAATTTGTGTAAAACCAAATGATTTATTCAATCTGCAAATAATTAGTAGAATTATGGAAATATCAACTAAAATAATCAATTATGAGATTTGCAAAAAATTATTCTAAAAATATTGTGTTAATGACAGTTTTTATCTAAATATTATTTAATAATTGTTATTTATTTTTTGTTTATTTAATTACTCGAATTGTGGATAATTAAATAAATAAGTAGACTACATAAATTTATATTTTTAAGATACCCTAATTACACAATCGAATAAATTTAGTTGATTTATTCAATTGTAATTTCTTTTATAAAATTATCCACAATAGGATAAATCATCAAGAAGATAATAAATAACAGCTCAGCCAGTCACATAGTTTTGTTGACACCCGAGTTCGAGAGCCGAGCCGGAGACCCGGTCCATCCCGAAAGTGCCGAGCTGGACCGGAATATTTTTTGACCTGGACGTTCCCATGAGTCCGTCCTCCAGTCCGGCGTTTGGACTATGAAGCCCCGATGCCGATCTGAAGAGTGACGGTCTGGAAGAAAGGTTCCCCAGAACCGGAGGAAAAAGTAAAGAAAAGGTGCCGACTTGGAGTCTCAGGACGGGCCCCTGCAATGGAGGTGTCGACCTCGATAGTATTATAATAATGCCACTTGGGGGGGTAATCATTGGCTAATGGATGGGACACCCTAGCCTGCTGACCTACCTCCCCTAGCCAAGACATAAAGCCTGTCAGCATTAAATGCCTGTCAGAAAATGATGAGGAAAACCTCAAATCGCATTAAATTCTGTCAGGGAGGCGCCGAACTACTCTGCAAGAAACACTGTACGACAAGACTGATGAACAGTGCCTGAACAGTGTCACATTTAAGGCCACTATAAATAGCAGCCCATTTCATTTATTTTGGGTTGTTGAATCCCAACTACTTGCACTCATATTTTCTCTCTCTAAAAAATTGTAAGAAATTCTTGTAAGAAACCTCGCAGTATATCGCAAGTGCCGACCTCGTACGAGAGGCCGACCTCGTGATCATATAGTAAAATCGCAATTAAACCGTATTTCTTTGTCTTTTCCTTACTTTCTTTATTTTATTTAACTTTTTAACCGTTGACCGGAAACGCCCGTCAACAGTTTGGTGCTAGAAGGAGGGCACCATAAGTTATTTGGTGTCAACTTTTCGATCTTGTAAAACTCCACACCACGCTCATCTTTTTCCCACTTTTTCACTTTCAAAAGCAACTCAAAATGCTTTCATCTGGACATGACGATTCCACCCAGCAATCCGGCTCCCAGCCTCCCGGTCGTTCGCCGCTCTGTCCACCAGCGTTTGGGTGACAAGAGCCACGCCAACCAAGATCTCCGGGAGGTGATTAGGCGGGGCAAAGCCATCGGCCACGATACTGAGGAAGTCGCAGCCCTCAAACGCAGAATTGCCGAGTTGGAAGGTCGGCAGCCCACCGGGAGTGAGTTCTCACTCCCAGCTCATCAACAAACCCGTACGCGACCGACTCCTCTGGTCGCGGATAACGCCTCACCTCTCTCCCTCGATATCCTGCAAGAGGCCGTCCCGAAGGGAATACAAATACCCCAGCTCGGCCTCTATGACGGGAGCTCGGATCCCGACTCGCACCTCGGCCTCTACACTTCGTGGATGGACCTGCACGGCGCTTCCGACGCCCTGCGCTGCCGCATGTTCTCCCTGACTCTGGGACCCAAGGCACAGAGGTGGTACCATTCCTTATACCCCCGCTCCATTTCGACCTGGGCACAGCTCGGGTCGGCGTTCCGGTCCCACTTCATTGGATCGCAGGTCAATCTTGCCCCCAAGGAATCAATCTCCAACATTGTACAGGGCGAGAATGAGAGTTTGAAGGATTACATCGCCAGATTCAATGACCGGGTCCAAAATATGGAGCGGTGCCACCCCGACGCACTGCTCATCACGGCCCAGGGCGGCCTCAGACCGAAGACGCTGTTCAGGTGGTCCCTGTGCCAAAACAAGCCGACCACCTATCAGGAATTCCTCACTCGCGCTCAAGACTATATCATGGCGGAGGAGTCCTCATCCATCCCGACGTTCGACGCCACGCCGGCACCGACGCCGGCTAAGGCAAAGGCAAAGGAGGAAAAATCGGGGAAACCGAGCAAGTCGTTCGCTGAGATTCGGGCTCAGCGGAGACAAAGGGCCGAGGAGCTGAGAGAAAGCTACCAAGGCGTCTTCTCGGTAGGGGCCGCGGCGGTCTACGAGGAAATCAAGGCCAAGGGGTTGTTACCAGACCCCAAACCGATGTTCACCGACAAGGACAAGGTGGACAAGACCCGCTACTGCTCCTACCACAAGGCGCACGGGCACAATACCGACCAGTGCCGAAACTTGATCTCGGCTCTGCTCAAACTGATAGACGATCCCCAGCTTCGGAGGTTCACCCACTTCGGAGAGAAGAGGAAGAAAGGGGGCCGCTTCGAGGAAGGCCCAGACAGCGAAGAGGACGCCGATGTGAATCCCTGAAGGAAAAAGTCGCAGCAGGGCGGCCCCCATGAGATCATGACCTTCTACCCCACCCATCAAGACGAGGCCGGCACCTCCAGGGGCAGAAAAAGAGACCGGTCCCCTCGCACAGGGGCCGACCCTGCCAACCTCCCAACCCGGCGTGTCAACACAAGCCGGAGCGAGTCCCTCCTCTCCCGGAGACAAACCAAGGCCTACGCCCGACAGGCCTATCACGCCGGGCAAAGGGTGATGCATGCCCACAGCAGACCGGCGCCAGAACCGACCCCAAACACCATCACCTTCAACGACGAAGACGCCTTCCTGTTCGACCATCCCCACTCCGATGCCCTGGTGATCACGGCGCCGATCATGGCGATAAAAATCCACCGAATCATGGTCGACACCGGAGCCTACGCCAGCATCCTCTACTACGAGACCTTCAAAAAGATGGGGATCGATAGGAAAGAGGTGCAGCCTTGCCGGGAGCGGATCCAGGGCTTCAACGGCCAGACCATCGCCCCGGTTGGTCAGGTCACGCTACCGGTCCGGTTCGGAGAAAGGGGGCAGCCCACGAAGACGATCTTGGAAACCTT